ACAAAGTCAGTTTTTTCTACTTCAGTCTGGGATCGATTTGCTGTTTTTTCACTTTGAATATCAGTCTCTCATGTCAGTTTGTACAACTAACACTCTACTAAGCAGTGTTGCCATGAGGGAGGATTCTTACATATGAAGTGTCTGGCATTAACTATTCATGCCCACCCCACGTGCCCAAACACACATATGCACACGTATAGGCACTCACATGCGCATACGTATGTGTTAGTTTTCAAGTGCTTCGAAGAGCTCATGTGGTCAGCATGGAAACTTAAATTGATTTCAGTTGTCTGAAGTTGTTTCTTTTTGTGTCATGCGATTTGATTGAACAGGGGCACTAAATTTTTTACCTCTGAGATGTCATTATATTATGTTATATCTTCTCATGAGGTTTCTGGTATACAGTTCTGAATTTCAGATTTATTTCTTAAGTTGGCGCTTTTGACAGCTGCTGGTTTTCTTTTTTATTGCCTTTTTTAATCCATGGATGAAAAAAACATTACTTATTTTATTGGAGCTAATAAATGTTCAAAAAATATTGAAACATTGAGTAGGTCCTCCTGATTCTATGTCTTAGCTGAATCTCTTAGCTGAATCTGTGTACAAGATTTGAATTTACATTGTATGATTAGATGTGTTTGCTCCGTTGTGAAATGTAACGGGGAAATTCATTACATGATTAAGTAGTGGTAAGTTCTCATGGAAAAATGTGCTTGTGAGATTACAATACTGATGTCTGACTTTGTACTTGAGAGAATGTAGTCTTCAAGGTTATTCTTGCATGGATGCTATATATGAAATTGGAAGTATCTCTCTGGATCTAACATTGACGCTTCCTTTTTCCCATGTGCAGGGAGCAAGTGATCTTTGACTGCATGATACAGAATCTTTTTGATGAATACAGGTTCTTCCCAAGGTATCCTGAAAGGGAATTGAAGATTACTGCAGTTCTTTTTGGTAAGTTGTGCCTGGATTTTTTCAGTTTCCTATAATATTTGATGAAGCTGTTCTTTCTTTGTATTTCCTTGTCAGTTTATGATTTATAATATTTCTTCATGTCGAATTGTTTTATTCTATTGGATTCCCCTTTAATGATCTTATTCTTGATCTTATTCTCACATGAAGCCAGTGTTTAAATAATCAGTGACCTGGGCTTCGAGTTGCTCGAGTTACTTGGACCAGGACAGCTTGCTGTTTTCTGCGAGTCGGGGTGAATCTGATCCAAGACACTATTTTTTATTGTACTTTTCTAATACTGGCTCGGATCTCTGGCGAGCGAGTCCAAGCGCTCTGCGCTTTTAATCACTTAATACACAAACAAAATCCACATTGAAAACCCACAATAGAAGAAAACATAGTTACTTGAATCACCTATTGTGGTAGGTGATCTCTTCTGGGATCTCAATCCTAAGTTCACGAAAAGGGATCTATCAGGTATCGCATTTTTTTTGGAATTTAGGATCTTGATCTCTTTTTTCAGGGGAACGAGTTCCGTTAGTCATGTGTTGAGTTCCTGGCTTCTTTGGGATCTTGTTCGTAAATGATAAGGTTCTCCATCCCAAGAGTTGTGGGATCCAGATTCTATTACATTGTAACACAAGGATCACCATATACTGCATCCAGATTCTATTACATTTTAACCTCGGTAATCATTACAATAACTTTGATGTGTTATTGCCTCCTTAAAGGCAATTTTCTTAAGAAGTAACTATTTTATGATAACTTTTATACACTACATAAATGATTTCCATGATCCTTAATAACGAATGCTCCGTCCTCCCTTGCTGATGGGTAATCCATTATTTACAAACAATAATAAAAGGCAAATTATTTTCATTTATATATAGTTTTGGCTATACTTTATTATATAACTTTGCTGTTCCTATTCAATATAAAAATGGCGACACAAGATTTGGTACTTTACAAGCATCAAATTGCACAAACTATAAAAGTCATAATTTACTTAACGAATTGATTTTTTAAAGATATTAATACTAATGAACTATGGAATAATTTAAATTTTCTTATTTCTTTATTAAAAGTTTTAAGATCACATATTATTAATTCAACAATGTTGGGATCTACACTGTAAAGCCAGGGGACGCAATTTAAACTTACATGAGGGCCTCGTTTTTCAACTATATGGAGCTTGTTCCTATAAAATTTTTCCCTCGCTCCATATTATGTTCGATCTTTTCCCCCATAGCGCTCCCACGGTTAAGGAATTCACAAACTTTGCGCTTGGGAATTTTGGATGCTAAACAAAGGATCTCACTCCTCCCGAATGTAGGCATCTTACTGCATGCATTAGATTTTCTTAGCCTCCATGGGCAGTTTCTTGTCTAGATCATTCAGGTCGTTTTTGGCATATCCATTTTTAGAGGTATTAGATTGCAGGAGCTGTAGGTCTTTTGTCTTGTCCTTGGAAACTTCTCCATATTTTGGGTCTGTAGGAATATCTTCTGTACTTAGTATTATTTTGAATTTTTGGTGGTGAGGTGGAAGTTTGTGTCTTTATCCGGTGGTTCAATCTAGTGCGCTGAACTATTAATGGAAATTTGGTTGAGACCAGTGGTTCACAAATCATCCAGGGACTAAAATTCTTAATGCTTCCCCTGTTCACGGGGAGGCCATGGCTGCATATGGCAATCATCTTATTAAGTTTATCTCCCCTTCTCCTAGGATGCTTGCTGAATCAATCTTTTGTGAGTCAATCATTGAGTGAGTTCCCATTTTTGCCTCTTTGATGGAGGAACCTCTTCTTGAGGAGAAACTAATTCATAGTGAAGAAAATTACAATAAGTTTTATTCGATATAACTACTGAATGGCATTTCCTATCTCCATTCTCCAATGAAGCGTGAGCACCAACCTGTCTCTCTCCAGTCTGCACTTTCTCTGGTCCCTAGTGCCTCCAAATTACAGGTTAGATTTCTCAGTTTGGAGGCCTTCTGCAGAACAACCTGTTGCTCTCCAGTGTGCACTTTCTCTGGTCCCTAGTGCCTCCAAATTACAGGTTAGATTTCTAAGTTTGGAGGCCTTGTGCAGAACACCAATTGAAAACATAAATGTGGGTAAAAATCTTGTCGAGGTCTTCCATCTAAGGGGCAAAAATCTTGTCATGGGGCTGGTTGGACCCTGAGTAAGATCCTGACCTAAGGTTTTCTCCTCGCTTTTCTTTTTCCTGTTTCTGGTAATCCTTTCGAAGCATGTTTGCCTGATTGCCCTATCTTTCCTCATTGCATATATCGGAGTAACATGCTTGGCTTTGTGGCAGGAGTCTCCTAGTTAAGCTTAGTCTCCACATCTTGAAACAGCTTTTACATTCACTCTTAGTGGATCAAGTCATATTATATTTGAATGTGGCATTCATGTTCTCCTTAGTTGACATTCTTGCTCTTGCAAGTAACGTGCTGATAATCATTTGAAGATTTTATATGTAACAACCTATTCCGTGAATGGGTTTTTTTAATAAATTTCCCCCAATTTAGATGAATAAAGTGGTTCTGTTTCAAGTGTGTGTGTCAGTCACTGTCAGTGTGCGTGTGTGCATGCGTCGGTGTTTGACTACTTGATTTGAGTCTCGACTACTCGGGCCGAGTCCGAGACCGAGTTTCCCCGAGTTGGGTGTCCCGCTTAGGGATACTAATTTTTTTTTTTTAATCGTAGAAGTCCCAAAAAATAGGGAACTTATTTGTGATATGTTTTTTTATATTATTTTATCATTTTGGCAAAGATTGGAAAGTGTTTTGGCTATAAATGCTTAACTTTACATTTTTTTCCAGCTTTTTGGATTATTTTGAAAATACCTTCAGTCACAAGTTTATTTTTGAAATCTATTTTTTAACTACTTTTTAACCTCATTTTGATGTGTTTTGCTTAATCTTACTTTAAAACATGGAGTTCCTATTTTTTTTGGATTTTATTTTTGTACTTTTTATCCTTTTTTTGTTGCTACAATACTTGGCACTACTTGGGCTGAGTTACTTGGACTCGGGCCGAGTACTCGGATTGGGCATGGGGCGAGTACTTGGTCCGAGTAGTGGTTTCTAACACTGGAATGTATGTGTGCGCATGCTTTCTTGCATGCTCTTGCATATATATGTATTTATGTATGTGTTAAGTTATAATTGCAAAGCATGGTAAAGTGAAAATGCTTTGGTTTTGGGAATATTGCTATATTAGTTAGTTTGACATGCCCTTTTGTGGTTGAGTGTGATTCAATGTGATCTATTGACTTGAGGAGGATGGTCCACCCCTTTGGGTGCTATGAATATATTTCTTGAGATAATGGATTTTATGATTCCTGTGAACGTGTGGATATTTATTATATGTTTTTGGGGAGCCAATAACTCCAACAGACCCCTTAGCTAGTCTAGTAGTGCGGAGGGAAGAAATGGATCTGTGGGATGTGGTGGCTTTGATGGAACAATTCTTTCCAATTTCGTTAAAATTTGTCCTAAGTTTATTATTAGGTCAAAATAACCACAAGAGATGAACTATTTAATATTTTACCCATGTCTTGATTTAGTTTCAAAATATAGATCAATTCAACACATGTTCATCAGTTGGAACAGTTGCAAATGAGTAAATGTTGAATAATTCATCTCTTTTGGGTATTTTGATAAATTTCACTTTATTTAATAAGAATAATATAGATTGAAAGTCAAAATTAAATTGCTGATTGCTTAGGAAAGACAAAGACTATGTTGCTGATTTGGATTGAAACAAAAAAAAACATAAAGTTGCTGATGGCCACTTTTGTGCAAAAGAGAAAAGCGTGTTTGTGAGTTAATTGTTTGGTATGGCAACCATGATTTAGAGTTTCCGTGGGCTACAACAAATGCTTCATGATGTGGCTTGGGTTATTATGCATTTGTGCTTTGTCAGAGCTGCAATGATGTTTTAGAGTTTCCTTGCTCTACGTGTTAATGATTTGAGTAGCCAAGGGCTGCAATATGTGATAAATGGTTTGGAATGCAAACTTAGTTGGTGTATGTCTGTGAGGACATATCTCCTTTTTCTTACATTTTTTTATTGTTTTTATGTTTCTTGTGATGTGCTTTCTCGTATGTTATGCTCCTTATTGTTGATGCAGGCTCCCTTATAAAGCATCAACTTGTGATGTGCTTTCTCATATGTTATGCTCCTTATTGTTGATGCAGGCTCCCTTATAAAGCATCAACTTGTGTCCCATCTCACCCTTGGCATGGCCTTACGCTGTGTGCTTGATGCATTGCGTAAATCTCTCGATTCAAAAGTGAGTTGATACATTTTGGTATCTGAAGTATGCTCTTTTCTGTTGTAACATTTTCTTTATTCGTGATGGCTTCTTTCCTTGCAGATGTTTTCTTTTGGTTTAAAGGCTTTGGAGCAGTTCACGGACCGTCTTGTTGAGTGGCCACAGTATTGCAATCATATCCTACAAATATCTCATTTGCGTGACAGTCATGCTGATTTAGTGGAATTTATAGAAAGGGCTCTGGCACGCATTTCGTCTAGTCAATCAGATCTAGGTGGGGGCAACAGTGCTCCTACTGATCATCAAAGCCCTGTGCCCCAGGTTACCCAGGAAAATAATGAGGTATGGTGTAGTTGATCTCTAATTTTGAATATTGAGCTGTACACTTTCCATTCATTGTAAATTCTGTTGCTTGGGAGGCATAGTACTTGATGTATTTTGAATTTGATGTCCATCCATATTACTCATAAGTCTGGTCTGAATGTTATTGCTTTTCAATTTTTACTTGGTTGCAAGTGTAACTACAAGCTAATATAGAAAGAAAGGTGTCTGCCGAGGGTTTTAGAAACTGCCGAGCTGAGTTTGAATCGCTCGAGTCGGCTCAAGCCCTATGGGTCACCAGGCTGAGTCTTGCCCGGAATCGGGCTAATCAACCTTGAAATCCACCTTCCTCATGAAAAAACTGGTTTTCAGCTTGATTTGTGTAATACCCAGCAAATTATTGGGCCAATTTGGCCTTTTTGTTGAATACATTGTTGATTAAATACCTTCCAATGGACAGTGTTACATGGCCATTGATATGGTACCGAATCTACTGTGTTTCTTGAGTGTCTAGATGACAGCCTAAATATCCAGTACGGCCTTCATACGTCTATACAATTACATATATGCAAGAAAGAATAAAATTAATCTTGTTTCTATTCTTCTATATCATAAAATGGTGTTGTTTGAATCTTTTTAGTGACAATATTTCATACGATATGTAAACCTCATCTTAATTTGATACATAAAAACAAGCATGTTCTATAAGAAATGTTTTTTTTTTTTTTGTGAGTCTTTATGAGCCATATAAACATGACAGTAAATATTAATTTTTTTTATAAAGTAAGCATGCACAATTGCCCATACATTAAAGGTCTTGCATTATAAGAGTTTTATGCATCAAACGGCTTGCATATATATATATATATATATATATGTTTATACATGTCGGATATTAGATATATATGTTTATACATGTCATTTATATGTTTATACATGTTGGATATTAGATATATATGTTTATACATGTCATTTATATGTTTATACATGTCGGATATTAGATATATATGTTTTTACATGTCATTTATATGTTTATACATATCATATATATGCTTATACATGTCGCATATATATCTTTATACATGCCGGCCCTAATTAGTTGGGAAAAGGCTTTGACGATGATGAAGATGTCGGATAATAGATAAATTTTTTGATTTTGTTACTTTTTGTGTAATAAATGTACAATTTAGGATTTTTGGCATTGTACTTTGTTTAGTGGTTGGTGTTACATGGACATTGACATGGGTGTCGGTGTCTACCTTGTCGGCCTAAAAATTTAGTACGGAGAGGTATATCCGTACATCTATTTTTCATAGATAAGATAATGTATTTTAATTCATCATCACGAGCCTTATCCCAACTATTTGGGGTTGGCTACACAAGTCTTGTTCCACCATTTTGTTCTATCAAGGGCCATACAGTTAGTCAGACTAGAAGTCACCATGTATTTTCACTACTTCCATCCATGTCCTTTTAGGTCTTCCTTTTGCCTTTTTAGATCCTTCCTCTTGAAGCAAATCACCCCTCCCAACTGGTATTATTCTAGGTCAACCTTGCATATGGCCAGACCACCTAAGTCTACTTTCCCTTATCCTATCACCTATTGGAGCTACCCTTAAGTTCTCTTGGATGTATTCATTCTGAATTCTATTCTTTCTTGTCTTGCCAATCATTCATCTTAATATCATGATCTCGGCTATACTCATTCTATAGATATGTTGTTTCTTTACTGCCCAACAGTCCTTCCCATGAAGGCGTGGCTGGTCTTACAATTGTCCTATAGAACTACCTCATCAGTTTCATTGGTATGGTACGATGAGATATGACTCCAGAAGCATATCTCCACTTCATCCACCTAGCTCTAATTTCTATGGGTGACATCTTCCTCAATCACTCCATTCTCATGGATAGGCCCAAGATGTCGAAAATAATCTCTTGAGTTCTTTTTGGCCATCAATCTTAATTAATTCCTCGTTTCTACTCCTATTATTGCTAAACTTGCATCCCATTTCTTCTTAATCCATCTAATTTTAAAATCTTTAGATTTTAGAGCATCCCCCCAAAGTTCTTACTTTGCGTTGACGTCGAAAATAATGTATTTGAATTAATATATTCCAATTTATAACGACAAATGTGAATGGAGATGTGGTAGTGCTCATGGCTCACACCAAGGTGGTAGGGTTTGAAGCATGATGTATGTTTTAACAACCACCAAAATATTATATCAATATGTAATTATACTTTTCATTTATTTCCAATGTTCAGAAAGTCGGCCGCCTGATTGCTTAGGCAGCTTTCTGGAGAAAACACCTAGGCGTTCTTAAAGCGGTCACTATTAGGCGCCAGAACTAGGTGCCCGCCTAGGCTGTTGGGAGGGGGCAAAAAAAGTCATTTTACCCCCTTAAAAGGGGGGATAAGGGTTTGGGGGGTCATTCTTGCCACTGAAGACAATTTTAGTTAGCTTTAGAGTGAGAAACAACTTAAGAAAAACTAGATTTGAAGATTTTTTGAGAGATCGAATTTTTTTTTCGAAATCCTCAAATGGTCACAATATTAAAGGATATTCAACCCCAATCTTTTTGAGGCTTATAGGGGTTGTAAAAAAGGAGATTTGGGATCCCAAATATTTCGGTTTGGTCCGAAATCGAGTCCACTTCAAGGAGGTTGGTATATTTCAATAGTTTTCATCATTAGGTTTTGTAATTTTTTCCCTTAATGTCTATTTTCAAGTGATGTTATTTTTTGCTATTTGTATTTTTTCTTTGATATTTTGTGATATATATTTGATATTTTATTGTCTATTTGGATTATTATTTTATTAGTTAGTTTAATAATTGCTTAATTCTTAATTTCTTATTAAATAATTGTATGTGTAATGTGTTTTCTCGATGTATGATTCATAAAGCATAATTATTTTATTAGTTAGTTTAATATTTGCTTAATTCTTATTAAATAATTGCATGTGTGATGTTCTTTTCTATTCTGTGTTATATCATTGCAATTTTATTGTGTATGTAATGCCTAGATTTATTTTTTGGTTTAATAAGAGGCCAATACATTAAAGGTTCAATGTCACTTCCTATTTGTAATAAGAAGCCAATACATACAAAACTTACTTGCTAAACAATAAAAAGACAATTTTATATATAATAAAATTGGGGGGAGGTGTGGGGGATCCAGATTTAAAAAAAAAAAATGGCTTTTTTTGGGTCTAGGCGCCCACCTAGGCAGCCGCCTTAGCGCCTAGGAGGCCTAGCCCCCCCACCGCCTAGGCGGCCGCCTTCGACTTATTGAACATTGTTTATTACATACAAACAACGATAGCGTAATGGTACAAGTTACTCATGGGGAAGTTGGATGGGGTTCCATTTCTGCTACAAGCACTTTGTTATTGTGCTTTTGTTATATAATTAAAATTTTGAGAAAAAAAAGGATTAAGGTTACAAGCCACAGGAATTGAACCCCAGCATTGGTGAAGGTTAAATAGCTCCTCTACGATCTAGACCTCTACCCATTTTATGATAGAAGGTAGAAACTTCTATTTGAAGTGCCGACACTGTTCTGATATCATCCAATGATAAAAAAGTCGGCTGCTCTGCCTACAATCTGCCTAGGCGTGACTGCCTCTACTAAACAGCTGATCTATTAGCCTGTTACCAGAGCGGGAATCTGTCCTGAGCCTAACGCTGGTGGATCACTGTTACCTAGCATGATGGCTATCAACTCCGCAAATTGCAGAGCCAATAGTAAGTAGTCTTCTCTCCTCCATTCCATGCAGTAGGTGTTAAGTTTGAGACTCCTTCCGGCTCTCATGCTTTAGTCAGCGATTACAAAAGCCTACGTGTGTGGTAGTGCACTCCATTGTTGAGCCTTTTCAAAAGACAATTGGTGGGAGGGGAGAAGCTTTCCGCCGTACATTGCTCCTCTATTCTGCCCAATATTGGCTGAGGAATAGGGGAGCTGCGGTGGATCCCACTTACCCGTCCTAATTGATGTTTGGAATTGGACTTCCAGTTATCTGAGTGGTTGGCTGGCCATCTGGCTATGCAAGATTCGTCGGGCTCAGTCTTTCTAGGGCGTAGCGGTAGCCAGTTAGCCTTTACTCTCTTTTGAGATTTGACCATCAACTAAATATGTTTCATAAGCAACTGGTCTTACCTTAGCTGCGGGTATGTCCCGGTGGGACTGAGGCATCACTGCAAGGAAGATAGGTACGTACGGTCATGTGTCTTAGCTGTGTCGCCATGTTCTAAGTGGCGACAGGTGTAGACATGCCACACCAGGTTCTATTCAGTCGGGGTAACATTGTTAGTGTTTACACTTAGCCAACATATAAGGAATATATCTTTTGTTTTTTTGACAATATATAAGTAATATATCTTTCAAAGTTATACAAACTTTAAATGGATGACTCGGTCACTGTCAATTTTAACACCATCTAAAATAGTCATTGGTTGAAACCCCTCAAATGAGCTACCTTTTATATAAAATAAAATATCGATAGCACAGGTCTAAAATCTCAATATCAGACAGACTGTGGCACCTGACACATACAAGCTACGATTCAGGCATGTGTCTGGGCATGTCAAAATGTCTGTGTTGACACAGTTGAGACACGCGATATGAGAGAGAAGTTTGTCTGGGTAAGACTGTCAATGGATCAAAATTCAGCAAGAATCTGCCAAATTTGGATCCAAAGGAGGTTCTGTTCAAGAAACCTTGTATTTTTTTGCCCAAAAAAGCCTGTCCGCCTTTCTGTTAATTTCTCTATAAAATGTAAACAAAACAACTTGAAAATTCAAATTTGATCTCTCTAACAACACCCTATACAAATTTATTGGGCTTATTCATCTCTGAAGTTGAGATTTAAGATGCGATGGCTTTTGGAATTCAAAGAACAATTTATCCAAGGATTTTTATCTAGAAACTCTAAGGATTGATCAATGCTACATGATTTTTTAAAGATTGATTTGTATTTAATTGAATTGTTTTTGGATTGCTTTATGGTTTTCCTGTAAAAGTTGCATGAAGTTTCCATATAATCCGAATTTTTGCTGAGTAAGCTGATTAGGAAGGGACCTAGATAAATTTTCTGTTATATTTTTCCTAATGTATTATGGAATTGATCTCTTTTTATCAATTCTATATTTTATTAAAAACAGCTCAATTTTTTGTAAAAATATAATTTTTGAATTTATGATGTTGAATTTGTTGGGGGTTTTTGTTTCAATTTTATTAATATGGATTTGGATAATTTTTAATTTTTCCTTTAGTTTTAAACGGATTTGATTCTTTTCTTTTTGTAGTTATTTCTCTGAAGAATTGCCTCAAATTATTTAATAAAATTTATTTTACTGTAAATAACTAATTGTTATATTCAACTTATTTTAGGGTTTCTGCACTGGATTGTGTTGGGATTGATTCAAATAGTTTTTTTCTCCTTGATTTCTTGTGAAATCGATTTTTTCTTGTTCACTTCTCTTGTTCTAGTTTGCTATCTCCTTCTCACTTCTCTAGTTTTCTAAAAATATGCCTCCAGAAATTTATTTTTGTAAGTTTTATTTTTAATATTTTTTGGGGTTCTTGTATATATTATGTAAATATTATGTTGAATGATTTAAAAAATGTTACTTTGTTGTTTTATCCCGTATTTTGAATACGTACATTTTTTATTTGTTTGGTTTCATTATTTTGAAAAAAAAGTTTGATTTTTCATATTTTCTTATTACAGAACTTTTGTTTTTGGGTAATTAATAGTTAAACATTGTTTATGATTCATCTCTCTTGACCTTGACCCCTCCCCCCCCAATTCACATTCCTCAATCTGCGGTGGGGTAGTCAGGATGATTATGAGGTTACTTTCTTTATATTGCATGTTTTAGTTCATTTGAATGTGACATTGATATTTAATCCATAATATGATTGTGAATTTTTTTTTTTTTTTTTTTGTGACTCAAGTAAGTATATCTTTTGTAATCAGAGGTCTATAAGCCCAATTTTTTGTACGGGGTCTCTTGACCTATTTTTTGACCGAGAGATCCGACTTGTGGGTACACTCGGACCCCTCTTTTGTACTCTAACACTCTACAGCAATACAAAAGTTAACTTTCTCTGAAAAAAATATGAATGTGGCTATTGATATTTACCGCATTTTTCATTGTGAAATGAATGTGAGTATTTTCCCACAAACCGACTATAAATTAGATTTTTGAACCTTTTTGAATATTTCTTGGGAATTTTTTATTAGCTCAGGGATGGCTGTCTTTCATACCGGTCACGGTCGGTCAATTTGCTTAGTCAACTGGGACCCAGCAGGTGGCCGGTTGAACCACTCGAGCCGAGTTTTGGAACACTGCTAATTACCTTGAGAAATGACTTTCTACCTGTAATGTGTCAAACATAAACTGAAAAGGAAATGTCATCTGTTTTTGATATATGCTACTGTTGTATATTAATATGGATTTTGCTTCTTGCTTTTATCCATTGCTTCTATACCTTATTATTGTCTGGTCTACTCAAATTGGTCCTTAGTCATGTGTTGCATGCATGAAGTGATCTGAATTGGAAATGATCTCTTCATGTTAGGTTGTCTGCATTTTCTGATACATGATAGAAGAGGAAGATACAAGACGAGGTTCTAGTGTTTTCCTAGGCCACTTCAGGGTTTGTTGCACTGTTCATAATTTTTCCAGTGAATAAGTCTGGACATCCAGAACAATCAATAAATGATTCCTATTACTGTTGATTCTATGGGCACTATCGATGTTCTTGAATGTGGAAAAGGATCCTCATTGCTATGTATGTGTCTTTCAAGAGCATTCTTACTCAACTCTATGACTTTTAGAAATTTTTTGTAGATTTGCTTGACTTGATATTTTGCAGTTTCTACTCAAATCTAACTGTGGTTTTCCCACGTTTGATTTTGGTCATCACGCAATAATTCATATCTTTTTTATTTTTGTTCTTTTCTTTGTAAGTTACCATTGTAAATTAAAGCACTCGACTTTTTTATTCAAATTTCATCTTTCCTTCTATGACTTCTCAATATATACGCTTAAGTGTGATGTGTTAGCTTGAATGTGCTTTTGTATGGCCTATATAATGGGGTGCTTTCGAAATTGTTGGTTGCATTGGATTATGAGCAATCAATGGGTTTTACAGGCATCTGAAGCGTCATGGCATTTAGGTTCTGGGCCACAAATTTCTTCTCCGCTCCAGCTCCAACAGAGACACCAGGGTTTCCTTGATGATAGGCATAAATCACCAATTTCTTCAGTTAACTATCCAAAGCCACTTCTACCTTCTTCTGGACAGCCAGCAGCAATTTCGAGTCACATTGATATAGCTATCAGTCAAAGGGTATGATTATAAATTCACATGTCAAAGAAATTTAAAATTTTTAAACTAGTTTATTTAAACCATATGGTTGCACTGTCCCTTCTTGTTATGTAACCCAGAAACCAACTGGCGTTCAGGCCTCTCCAACAGTGCCTCCTCAGCAGCCTGCCTCTGGGCCTACTCCACTGTTGTCTTCTCCAGGATTTCCGCGCCCTTCTCGAGTGACATCTGCAGGTAATGTGCTGAATATGAGGTATCCTTTAGAGAATTCTGAGATCTTTAGATCACTTTTTAGCCCAATTTCTGGGCTCTTGGGATTATTTAGTTCAACCGGTAGACATTTATATTGGCTTGCACTGCTACGCAACACTTTAAGAGTAGGGCTGGGGTCCTGTGTCGACATGTTTCGACAAAGGCGACTCGTGTTGATAACTTTGGACACTGGGAGTGTATATAAGAACAAAAGCTTGCAAGCAAGCACGGTTGAATCCAGACCTCTTGAATGTACCTTTTGTATTACCACTCCTCCAGTTGATCAGTAGTTTTTTCACAATGTTTTATTATTTATATCGAAAACCTGTGATATTTTTATTGTGTGCAGTTTACAAGGGTGTCAACCTTAAACAAAGTAAGGTGCACCCCGAATTCTATTGATAGATGGAGTTTCGGTGCGAGAAACGCTTATGTTGGTCTAAATATATATATATTTTCCCCACAAATTATAAAATTTAAGGCTCCAAAATTGTTTAGATTGAGCAGATCCATAAATACTTGAAAATAGACTAGATAATATATTACAAGAGGCAGTATTTTTAGGACTTGACAAGTATTTTTTTTCTTTTTCAATATCTATGCATCTCCTGGTTGTGATGATCAATTTGAGGGTTTTTGAACATCAAAACAACTTTTGTCGTTGGGATTTTAAGGTGCACCTGTAAGGTGATGCCTTCTATGAACTTTCTCCTATTTTACTTAAAATTATTCATGTATGGAGGTGTCATGCCATATCTTTTTTTTACGCTGGGGTGTTCCACACTTCAATATGTTTTGGACACTGTGATTCGTTAGGTAAATATTTAACACTGGTTTCTTTTATACTGTAATTTTTGCTTAGTCTACTGTGATAAGGTGTTCTTAGACTGCATTTGTGAACAGCAGGTTTTGGGGCTGCTCTGAACATCGAAACACTAGTTGCGGCTGCTGAAAGACGGGAGGTTCCAATAGAGGTATCTTATCAATTATCTTTCCTATGTCTTACAATTGCGACAGTTCTTTATCTGATGGTGTGTAACTTTGGATGCCGCTTTCATTCTGTCCAATGTTTGGACTGCAGGCTCCTGCTTCAGAAGTTCAAGACAAGATATTATTTATGATAAATAATATTTCTGCTGCTAACATGGAGGCTAAATCAAATGAATTTACGGACGTCTTAGATGAGAAGTACTATCCATGGTTTGCACAGTATATGGTGATGAAAAGGTGTGTAGAAGCATTCCCTTATCCCCCTTCTGACATGTGATATGATAAACATATGGCTCTTTCATTGTGTTGAGAATTATTTTTTGGTCTAAAGTATTTTTTTTATTTGTTCACAGGGCAAGTATTGAGCCAAATTTCCATGATTTGTACTTGAAGTTCTTAGACAAGGTTAATTCAAAAGCATTGAATAAGGAGATCGTGAAAGCTACTTATGAGAATTGCAAGGTGCCTTAATTTTATTTGATTACTCAACTTTCTGGTTGCAGAACACCTCCATTTGTTCTTTAGTAATCACAAGTATTGTTTTCAACTGTGTATTCACAGGTTTTGTTGAGGTCTGAGCTTATAAAATCAAGTTCGGAGGAGAGGTCTCTACTAAAAAATCTAGGTAGCTGGCTGGGAAAGTTCACCATTGGGAGAAATCAAGCATTGCGGGCCAAGGAAATTGATCCAAAAGTCCTAATTATTGAGGTATTTCCTTTTGTAGGTGCTCTACCGGATGCCTTTTTTTTTGGTGTGTGTGTGTGTGTTTCTCTTATATGCTGACCTATGTTCAAGAAGGCAGTGGTGGCCGCCTAGGCGGGTGCCAAGATACCTGGGCAGCCCTGGGGTATTTTGTTATATATATATACTTTTTCTTTCTAAAATAAATGAACAGAAGTACAAACAATAAAAAATCTCTCTCCATAGAGCCAAATCTCTCGCACTAATTTAAATTAAGGAGGTGGGCACCCAGACCCACCTAGGCAGGTGCCTTAAAGAAGTCCACTTGAACAAACAGCCCCCCCCCCCACACACCATTCCCTCCCCGCCTAGGCAGTTTGAGAAACAGGCTGCCTGGGCATCCACATAGTCGGGTGGTCGAATTTTTGTACATTGCTGTTGACTCCGATGATGAAAACTGCTGTAAAAACTAAAAGGTATTCCTGATTTATGTTGTATTAGGCCTTCACTTATGTATCCTTCAATTTTTTTATCTATTTGGTGGTCATGCCAATTTTCGTCCATGAAATCACTTTCTTGATGCCCAAGTGTTTTACATCTTTATTTTCTTAAATACTTTTATGGTAAATATTGCACTTTTCCCATTTTACATGGCTTCCCTTCACTATTTAATGTCATAAAGCTCATTTTTAATAGGTTCTTTAAGTGTGTTATGTTACGTGTCATGTGGTGATGTCGAGAATTTTTATTTTTTGGGCGATCCTTGGTTGTATACTATATAGATGCTTTCATTTTCTTCACTTATGGAATGCATATTTCCTTTTTGTTTCTTGGGGAAATTTATCAAGATACCCATAAGAGATGGATTCTTCAACATTTTACCCATTGTAATTCTTCTATCTCACGATCATGTGTCTTTCAATAGGTATTTTGAAATTATATCAAAAGCGGATACAATGTTAAAGAGTTCATCTCTCATGGTGTTTGGATTACTTTACCTTGTTCAATTTTGTCGTTTGATTAATCTTATTCACAAAATATATAATAGATAAGACTAACTTGAAGCTGTAAGAAATCCCATAACTGAACCCTCTTGAAATGCCTAAAGCCATCCTTTGTTGCATTGACATGGATACTTGTGTTAGTGTCAAACACGTGTACGAGGCATTGGAATCCCCCTTCCACGAAGCTTCCACGAAGAACAAGATTTGGCAAACTCGACTATAATATAAAGAGAGAACAAAATCCAACACTAGTTATATTTTTCTATTGGGAAATTAAAAAGGGTCAAAATCCCTTGTAAATCATTAAGGGGATCCAAAGTTCCCAACTTGCATTAGAGAGTTACCATTGATTTTCATTTCGCTCAAGGACCTCTTAAAAATATATATTTAAAAATGCCCAAATTGCCCCTATTCAGGGTTGGGAACCTTGAGCAAGAGGGGCATGTCAATAAATACAATCCACCCTGTTATTTGACCTGCCCTGAACACTCTTCGGTACTCCCGACGTTTGGTTGGGGTGGGTCAAATTACTTAAATGCCCTTGCTTGTTCATTGTTCCTGGCCTTAAATATGGGAAATTTGGTTTTGAAGATATTTTTGAGCCGGCACCTTCGCGAAATGAAAATTAAAAGTGTACCCTCTAATGTCAACTGGGATGTTCTGACCTCTTAAATGATTTTGTACGGGAGTTTTAGTCCTTAAATGATATTTTCCCTAGTCTGTTTCATGATGACTGGCAGCCTATAAACTCAATTATGACTTGCTTGATTCATATGCTTTTCAAAGTGCAAATATGCCCACTAAGCAAAAGAGAAGGTCGAAGTCTAAACCAATGATATAGTCAATAGTTGTTGAACATGAAGAAATTAAAAGATTCTCTGTTGTTTTATGTGTGGATGTTTGTTCGACACAGGTATGTCACCCTAACAGAAAAATCTGTGGAACATAACATCAAGGTTGCTCTGCATTGGTGCATGACCCACTTCAAATATTCTTTCAGGGCTTGGAAGGTCATAGTTTTTCTCCGATATGCTATCGAGCCTCCGTAGTTGAGGTGTCTCCTCTATGAGATAATAACAAATTGAGAGTCACTACTATTAATCTCAGATTTGAAGAAAGCACCTTTGTGAATCCTAACCCATAAAGAGTGTTTGAGGTTCCGTTCTAGGAAGAGTCTTCAACTCCAGAACGTTTTTCAGAAATAAGTTAATGCTCTCTTATTCCATCTTGAACGATTGGGTCAAAAAGCTGCCATCTCAGTTTTCCATCTCGACTCTCTTAAATTGTTTTAATGTTCCTGAAGGTGGAGTAGATCTATCAACCCAACTGAAGAGTTAGAAGTCGTAGCTCATGAGCCTCAGAATCAGATCGCCCCAATCCGTTCTTCTAAATCATTTTGCTATCACACCTTCCACCTGTCTTCGTTGGTTTGTCCTAACTCAGTGTCACATCTAGACAATCGTCACATCCTAGTGCTTCACAATTACCCAATATGTGTCCAGCACAAAGAAAATGTCCTTTGTTTGTTCCTTTCCTTACATATCCTCCAAATTGCCTCAGTATATAATGAAGCTGACTAGAGTGCTCCTTTTGATTCCGATTTCCATTTCCTTTATTAATCAACCCCTTTGACCCCATCAACTTTCTCTTAACCTTATCCAGATTTCTTCTTTACCTAAACAACCCTACTGTCCCTTTCCTTGTAGGAATGCAGTTTTTGTTAAAATCTATTTTCTAGCCACATTAGCAAGTCTAGAGGTGCTCCAGTTTGCTTCAAAAAATTAAGCCTTTGGCTTACAGTGGCTTGCACAGGTTAGTTTGGTTAGGGGAGGTCTTAACCTTATGCTTTTTGTTGCTTGATGTGTGTTTGGTATGTATCCTAATGTCGGATGCTTCAATGCTTCTTCCTTCTCATGGCACTTGTTAAATTTTGTTACTAGTACTTGATACTTTTACATGAACAATTATCTACATAAGGGTATATGTAAGTGCATAAATCAAGTATACATACATAACTTTTTAAAATGCATTTATGGGAGTTTGTTAGACTTAATCATTATTGCGTTGAAATAGTTTCTATTATTGATCTTATGCTAATTGTAATTTTTTCTGGCCAGGCATATGAAAAGGGATTGATGATTGCAGTGATTCCATTCACATCAAAGGTAATAAATGGTGTCTTGGCTGTTCTGCATTGAATTATCTTCCCATGTTTTTGGCATATTGAGAGTCTCATATATCTTATCTTTTGGTGTAGATACTGGAGCCCTGCCAATCTAGTTTAGCTTACCAGCCTCCCAATCCATGGACAATGGGCATCCTTAGTCTACTTTCCGAAATCTATGCATTGCCAAACCTGAAGATGAACCTTAAGTTTGATATTGAAGTATCAATCGCCTCTTTTGATTTTGTTTTATATTTTCATATTTCTTTCCCAAACCTGTGGATGCAATGCTAGCATCACTAGGTCACTTGTTATTTTCCTATTTTTCTTTATTGCTTTGTTGTTGTCTTCTTTTGTTTCTCATTGGCTATTTGAATATCCAGGTGCTATTCAAAAACTTAGGTGTGGACATGAAAGATGTGAAGCCAACTTCACTTCTCAAAGATCGAGTTCGAGAGATAGAAGGGAATCCTGATTTCTCGAACAAGGACCTTGGTGTGTCCCAACAACCACAAGTAGTTTCAGATCTCAATACTGGAATCATTGCCTCTTTAAGTTCAGTGGACCTGCAGTCTGAGGCAGTGACTTCATCTCATCCTGGTAGCCATTCTAGTGTAGTAACTCAGGTTCGTAACCTTTTTTCAGAATTTATAATTGGCAGTTGTTTAGAATGATTTAATTGTTATTGCGACTTAATATATTGGTGACATGCTTGGATGTGCAGTATACGGCTCCTCTTCATCTTGCCCCAAGTGGATTAGGAGAAGATGACAAACTGAGCACTTTAGGATTGCCTGAGCGAATACCTTCTTGTCAGGCCTTAACGCATGTTTCTCCAGCACAAACACCATTTCCTGTTAGTCAGGTATGATGCTGACATGCTGTATTCTTTCGACTTTTAGTGTTCTATGCTTACCGGTGGATTCAATATATTTGACATTGTCATGTAAGGTTATAATAAGTTCTGGTTTTCAGCTTTCTATGCCAACACAAAATATTGGAACCTACATCGTTGTCAATCCAAAGCTTAATGCCCTGGGTCTGCAGTTGCAGTTTCAGAGGTTCGTGATTGCTATTCTGATTTTCCTATATTATGTTTTTGACATTCCTTCTGGTTGACGTTGATTTTGATGTGATGGCTTCTGAAACAGAATTGTACCAGTGGCCTTGGAGCAGGCTGTCCGGGATATAACGTCGCCTGTTGTTGAGCGTAGTGTAACCATTGCATGCATGACAACTAGAGAACTTGTGTTGAAGGTTTGGTCTTTTTACTTGGTCAGATGAGAACATGTTGATTGCTTTGCATTGTTTGATCTTAACTAATTGCGATGATAGGATTATGCTTTGGAAGCGGATGAGAGCCGTATACACAATTCTGCGAACATGATGGCAGGATGCCTAGCAGGGAGCTTAGCGCATGTGACTTGCAAGGTTTTTCTTTTCTGTTTCTATTTCTTCTTTGTTGTCCTCTGTTTTGTAATTTCAGTAGTGAGGGTGATTTGTTTGCAACCAGTTATGCTCCAGTAATGTGAGACATCTGGTTCGAACCCACAGCATAGTTGGAAGGCACCTGTTGGTTGAACCTTGTGGTTGTGGGTTAGAACCCAGCTTTACCTATTCATAGAACTCAATAAGCTTTACAGGGAACTTCAAACTTGCCATGTCTGTAGTGTTGATCCTGTGTTACAACTAATGGGTTTATTTTGGTTTTTGCTAGGAACCACTTCGTATTGCTATGTCAAACAAGCTGCGTGTGTTGCTGCAGCCTTATGTTACTACTGAACTCCTTGAACAAGCTGTACAGCTTGTCACTAACGATAACCTTGACCTGGGTTGTGTGATAATCGAACAAACTGCCGTAGAGAAGGTGGGTGCTTCCCATTTATTATTCTTGAAGCAAATTTCTTCATTTGTTGCATATTTGTGGATTGAACTTTACACTGTTATATTGCATAGTTGTTGATTTGGGGCATGAAGCTCTTTATTAGTTTTTTTATATATTGTGCAACTTGGAATCAGGATATTTTGTGGAGTTGTATACATTTTTGTGTTGTGGCTGGGAAATTCCATGGTTTTGTGTTAGACAGGGGTACTTAAGTTATTTGTGTTTTCATTTTTGCATGTAGCATTTTGCCCTTTAACCTTGTAATCACTTTGTATACATTTTTTAATCATCGGCAGGGGTTAGTGTCCTGGTCATTTAGTTTTTCATTTTGCCTGCTGCTTATGCAAATTGAAATTTGTGTCTTGGTGCTCCCTTGGCTCAGTAACTATGCGTCTTCGCCCTCCACCTTGATGTCCAACGTCCAATCTCAGCTTACCCTCTTAGAAGGAAAATTTCACCTTTATTGCCTCCAGTCACCTTGAGTATCTGTTATGTGGTGTTCTTGCCCTAGATGGTTTTGTTTGTTGTTTGATAATATGAGGGAGAAGGGAAAGTCCTTAACATAAGACACATATGAAACGGAGCTAGAATTATTTTTATTTTTTGAAATTTGTGTGAAGCAATATATATAATATAAGTTTCTTCATCTTGTTTTCGTTTGGGTTTTAGTTGGGTGGCTTTTCTTGTAATCATCTTGCATTCTTCACAAATGGTTGAAAAGTCTCAGTTCTTTGATTTTGTTTGATCCTATTTACTAGTGCCTCTGCAAATTGTTACAGGCGCTTCGAGAACTTGATGATATTTTTGTTCATGCACTTAATCTACGGAGGAAGCTCGGTTATGAAGCGAATAATTACTCTCAAGGAGCCTTAGCTCGCTTACCGGAGGCACTTCGCCCTAAATCGGGTCGCCTCTCTGCTGCGCAACAGAGAGTTTATGAGGTGGCTGCATTATTTTCTTATTTGTTTGGTGATGTAGATGGTGATGCACTCGTATATTGTGTTCATCTGTATCTTTTGCAGGATTTTACCAGGCTTCCAATGCAATCGCATGCAAGTCAGAGTACACATGCTACACCTGCTGGCCCCCCGCCTGCTTCGTCTGGTGGTTCTGCTGGTATTGTTGTATCCCGGGTCTATACAGGACCACTCAACTCAAACATTTATTCTCCAGCTCAAGTGCCAGCGGGTTTCACTACTATTGGACAGCCGATGGATCATATTTCTGAAGAGATGGAAGTGGGATCTGCTCAATCACCTAGGTCGTATTTTTGAACTTGTGCTATAATCTAATGGACTAGGGAAAAACCGTAATCCATGGGGTCAACACTGTCCATTGAATTGATTGATGGCTATGGAGAGTTGGGACAAATGAAAACAATACCCATATGGCGTGCTAGACTCTTTTTCTTCATAGTGAAATGGACAATGATGACCCGGTGGATTATGGAACACCATGGTCATTGGATACGGTATATCATTCCTTTATTCTAACCTCCACATCCTCTTATATGCCATTACTCGTCACTTGAATTATTTCCATGTTCTGCAGCCTTCCCTCACCTCATGTTGTTCAAATGGATGGTGTTGTTCACCAAGGTGGAGAAATCAGTGGCATTGCACCTTCCTTATCAATGACTCCTCTAGCCAATGACGTGCATCCAATAGAATCCTCCACTGTTGTCAAAGTCTGTGATATGTCTTCCTTTTCTTTTCTTCTATCTTAATTTGGATTATTTTGCATTGAAACTGAGATAGTTGACATTTACTTGGCCCCAGGAATCTGGAGCTGTGGTGCCGCCTTCACCTTTGCCCTTGTCCTTGTCCACCGAACGGATTGGGGCTAGCATATCAGAACCTTTAAGGAGTATGGGAGATGCACTGGAAAAATATCACATAGTTTCCAAGAAGGTAGTAATTGTTTGCATTTCTCCAAATTTCCTGTTTGTGTTTTCTGGCATTGACTTCAAAATCTCTCCTATTCCGTGCATTTTTTATTGCAATATTTAAGATTTTCCCTTTACAGCTGGAAACATTGGTCTCAAAGGACTCTGGAGATGTTGAAATTCAGGTATGGACCATTTCAAACTGGTCTGAAAGTTCTTTCGTGTTATCATGGCTCAGAAATGCAAAGCTGGAAATATTATCCGCTATGGTAAAGTTTTTGTATTTCTTATTTCCAGGGTGCCATAAACGAGGTGCCAGAAATCATTCTTAGATGTATAAGCAGAGATGAGTGTGCACTGGCTATTGCACAGAAGGTATGGTGTGCATTTCTTCTGTAGTAACTTCCTTGTCTTTTGTAGTTTATGATTGTGTTTCTGATTGTTCACATTATATATGCAGGTATTTAGGGGTTTATATGAGAACACATCGAATTCTTTACATGTTCAATCACATCTCGCCATCCTGGTTGCCATTCGTGATGTTTGCAAGCTTGTTGTTAAGGAATTGACAAGCTGGGTATGTTTGTCTTAATCTTCATGCATCATTTGAGGTCCCATTTTTTGGTTTAGGTTTTGGATTGGTGTTTTAAAAAGTGGATCGAATAGGCGGTTTGAAACGGAACACGTGGGGTACCAATCTGGGTAAAAAGAACCCCCAAGCTCGCCAGGTTCCCACCTGTTTTATTTTCTATATTTTAAGTTTCTAAACAGTTCTTTCTCTGGTGAACCAGATCTAAACTGGCCAGATCACTAACCGTATTGGCTTTGCCGGTGACTGGGTCAGACCACTGATCTGGTTTTTGAAAACTGCTTTGGACAATTTAATTTTGTGTTGCAGAAATAGATTGATTTTGGACTTCAATAAGGCACTTGATAGTGGTAGTTGACGCTGACTTTTTAGAATGGACACTCCAAATCATTGGCCATGTGCTCTTAAATGTTGTTTCCTTTTCCAAAAAAAAGAAAAAAATAAAAAAATGGGAGTTCATATTTATGGTAATATGGTTGAAGTTTCTTAAGAATGTAAGAAGTGAAGATCCTTGAAAAATGATAGACGCTTTTTTTTTCTTCTGAAGATCTATTTAATATGTGCATTTTCTGTTGGCATTATGATCTCTAAGAAGGTTAATTGGTTCTGTACTGCCTCTAAAGAGCTTGGATCACCAAACAGGTTACTTTGAGTTCTGACACTTTACAATGTTCTGTTTAGTGGGTTGGTGCTCCATTTTATAGTAGTGACTTTTGTTTCCTCACAATACTAACGCAATGCCTCTGTGTCCTTTCCTAGAATCACTGTCGGCTGTCTAGGATATGCCCTTGTCCACTTCCTTTTGTTATTCTTTTTTGGGTAGTTCTTATTGTTGTGTGTGGCTTGTTTCTTTATATCAAAGAACATTCCATGTATTCTCTTATTACTCAAATGTAGAAGTGTCAGGCTTATGCGTCACCAGTTGTTTCAAAATGTGTGGTGTCTACTTGGATAAGTAACAAAATAATTTGATTGTATAAAACTGTAAACACCTAACCTTCAAAAGGTAAAGATGTGATTTCCCTTTGTTTTCATTTTATACTGCTTTGTAGTAAATTTTGATTAGGTTTCTGTTCACAAACTTATAATTTATGTCCTCTACATTCCATATAGCTCTATGTAGTTGGAAACCCTGGCTTACAGGGATTGAATTTTTCTTGGTCTCTATTTTTTTGATGTACCTCCTGTTATAAAATTTGCTTGTCAAGATAATGAAAAATACGATGCTCAAACAGGATTCTAATGCATTTCCTTTTGGGTTTTTTGGTGGAGTAATTTTTTCCTTTTCAAAATTAGATTTAAAATGTGTACTTAACGAAGTCAATTTTGTTTACCAGGTGATTTACTCTGATGATGAACGGAAGTTCAACAAAGATATAACCGTTGGCCTCATGCGATCGGAGCTTATAAGCCTTGCAGAGTACGATATGCATTTGGCAAAACTTATTGACTCGGGAAGAAACAGTATGTACATTAACCTTAAAAAAAAAGAAAGTATGTACATTGACAGCATTCGATTCTGATTGTTTTTGTAAGAAGAAGCTCCAACTAGTTTCATATATGTTGCAGAAGGTGCCACTGATTTTGCAGTTGATCTTGTTAAAACCTTGGTTGTTCCGGAATCTGGAGTTGGTGTATCAGAGCTCCACAATCTCTTTGATGCCTTGGTAAAGGTACATCCTAAGGGTCTCCGTGGAATATGCTAGTGTTATGTGAACTATATGGGTTCTTTCCAAACTTCTAATTATTGTGAATTTTGTGGGTTGAGCATTCTCTAATTGGTTGTATGTCTGAGGGCAGCTCTCTATGAGGCCTGGATCTCCAGAGTCACTACAACAACTAGTTGAGACTGCTAGGAATCCACCCTCAAATGTGGTAGCACAGCCTGCATTTGCAAGTGGCAAGGATGATAAGGCCAGGCAGTCAAGGGACAAAAAGGTTGGGTGCTTTTATATTAATTTTTCTAAATCTTCTGAAATTTGTGCTTTCTTTCTTGGGCATGATGTTGCCTAGTCTCTTTCTAGTCTTATATTGTGGAAATGTTTTTTTTTGAATCTGAAAAAAAAAAAACATTACCACGATGTTTGATATTGTTTTTTCTTTTGGGTAATTCAGTGGCTAGACTTTAGCTGGGGCACAAGTAGTGCTACCACCACGACCCCAACCCCTTTTGTCTGATGTTTGATAATGTTAATATCCAATATCTGTCATTTGATGAAATAGGTTACCTCTGGTCGTGTTGTGGCAAGTCGGGAAGACAGCAATGCAGGTTCCGCTGACACTGGAGCCTCTGATCCTCCTGGTTTTCGTGAGCAGGTTTGTGTGGATGTCTTCTTTGTTGACTGGAGGATGTGGGGTGTGCGATCTAATGCTAAACAGTCAATAATGAGGAAATATAATGAACATAAAATATCAGCTTTCTAAGAGAGACACCATCTGAGTTGCTTTTGTTTCTAAAGGTAAGATGGTTTCAAAAGCACACATGAACCAAAATTAGTTGGAAGAGATGTAGAAATTGAGTAGCAGAGCAAAAATTTTTGTTAGCAAGGTAGTACACCTAAATGAAAGCCAAGTAGAATGAGAAACAAAATTAGATCTGGAAGATGAACATCGTGGAATTACAAATATTGAAAATTTGGAAAGTGTCAAAGTGATAAGTGGCTCTTGGTGAGGAGCTCTAGGAACATTTGTGCACTATAATATTGATAGATATGTTGTTTGGTATCATCAATAAGATTAGAGATTCTTTTATGTTGGAACTACGCGTGTTGATATCAGTTTGTCACCTTCACGCAATCGTATAGGAAGTGTTGACCTGCTTTGGATTATACATGTACCATCATTGTAGAATATATGTGCTATTGGGAAACAAATCAAACATTTTATTTTGTATATGTACTATGGTATCCATTTTGCCTTCATGCTTGGATATATCTACTTAAGATTCAGGTAAAGCCGAGTTAATTTTGCTCAAAAAGTTGGACTTCTCTTGTATCAACCTCACAATCAGTCTGATGTTTGGATCACTTCCAAATTAATGTGCCATTTTGTTGAACTTAATTACAGACGAGTATGGTAAGACGTTCGATTTGATATTCTCATAAATAATATTGATAAAAGTTTGTGTAATTACTTTTTGAACTTGGATTTTAATGCCTCTTTCATCCTACAGTTGGTATATTTTATATGCTGCTGGTGTTCCTTTAAAACATTGCACTATTTCAACATCTTATATTTGAAAAGTGTGTATCTTGATCAATCGAAGGAAAGAAAAAGTGTGCATCTTGTGCTTATGAACTTAGATGTAATGGGGCAGGTTTTCTGATAAACTTATCCTGGATTTTCTGAAAGTCAAGTGCTTCCTATATTTGGAATCTTTATATGCTTTGCCTTTTATGTACAATCTTAAATTTTTCCAAATGATATTATCTGATTTTACACATCCTGGTCTGAGAGTGTGACCTTGAACTTATGTTGTTGGCTCCTTTGATTCTTCAAAGTTTGCGTATTTTTTACCTGGAATATTCTCTGTATCTATTGTTGCCTGGTAGACACACCTCTCGGTTCAAATCATACTATGATTTAATGAACTATGATAAGCTCATAGTCGCTTGGGATCATCAATGTCTCACGAGCGAAGGATAGCATTAAAGGAAAGTGAGACCAACCACAACCTAACATGATCCAATGATGGTCCCACACACCATCGATCATTTTGTTAACAATAAGGATCCCGATAGATCACGATTTCCCATCACACATTTGATCCTACTAAATTTACAGTACAGAATTATGAGGCTTTCCCTAGATGATATGGCAGTGTATTGCTTGATGGCACATCTTTTGCTTTTGGTACTTTCGGAAAGTTACACAATTTGGATCTCTACAGGTAGGTGCACTACTTGCTGAATGGGCTCGGAACTGTGAAGCTCCTGGGATGAATGATGCAACTTATGCCACTTATATCTCACAGTTGCAGCAAAGTGGAATGCTAAAAGGAGACGATGTCACGGATCGTTTCTTCCGTGTTCTCACAGTTAGTCTCTCTTGAACATGAAAACACTAGCACACACAGACACACACAAAAGGATATCAGTGTACAGAGTTTGTGTAGGTTGAACCAATGTCATCAAAATCATGTTGGAGGTTAAACTGGTTTGGGGTCAGGTCTGGCCCAATCCAGTCTGACTGGTTGAGGTGGTCTTAGAACATGCAGGAATATAAAATATTAAGAAAACAAAAGAACTTTGTATCCAGTCAGACTAGTGGACCCAACTGGTTGACCTGTTGCACAATGAGTGTTGTTTCACTTTCTCGGGCTTATAATGGACCGGACCGGCTTGGGGCCAGTTCTTGACCCATGGTTGGTCCATCTGGTCCTTATAAATTGCATTTACCACTCCTGAAAAATTTTAGAATCTTATGAAAATAATGAATACCACTTGCTGTCTTTCAGGAGTTGGCGGTGGCACATTGCTTGGCCTCTGAATCACATCAAGCTAGTCAATCTGTTCTATCATTTGCTGCAATTGATATGTATGCGAAGCTTGTGGTTTTACTTGTAAAGGTAATTGGTTAAGGATCTTGTTCACACATCATTCTTGACATCAAGCTTTCTTTTCTTCTTGATCTTTTATATTCGAATATTTTGGCTTGCTATGGTGTCATTATCTTTTATTTATCGTATTAATTCTTTTATTTATTTGTTTTTGTTTCTCTATTTTCAGTATGCTGCAGTGGATCAGGGGCTGAATAAATTCATTATTTTCCCCAAGGTGGAGATTTTGATTCCTTTTTGTACTGTTAAATTGTCTCACCTTTTTATGAGATGTTTCTTTTCTGAGCTGTCTCCCTTTTTTTTGTTTTCTATTTTTGAGTTGTATTTACTATCAAGTATTTGTGCTGTTAATTGTAAAGTTTCTCATAATTGTCTTACTGGCAGGTTTTGGCTGTGACTGTGAGAGTCATTCAGAAGGATGCCGATGAGAAGAAAGCAAGTTTTCATCCCAGGCCATATTTTCGGTTGTTCATCAAATGGATTATGGAATTCAATACTCCTGATTCTGTTCTTGATACTATGAATTTCCAGGTAGGATGTCAACGTCTATTTGCTTTGTATTCCTTGTTACGTGTTTTCTTATTTTACTAGTTACATAATTTAAATCTCCTCTAATGGAGACAGTTAACATATTAAAAATAAAAAAAACTCCTCTAATGGAGATTTGCATATTTCAGGTTTTGACTGCAGTTGCAAATGCTTTGCATGTGCTACAGCCTATGAAAATGCTTTGTATTCCTTATTACGTGTTTTCCTATTTACTAGTTACATATTTTAAGTCTCCTCTAATGGAGACAGTTAACGTATTAAAAATAAAAAAAACTCCTCTAATGGAGACAGTTAACATGTTAAAAATAAAAAAAACTCCTCTAATGGAGATTTGCATATTTCAGGTTTTGACTGCACTTGCAAATGCTTTCCATGTGCTACAGCCTATGAAAGTGCCAGGTTTTAGGTGAGTTAATTTTTGGTATTCCTTTCTTTTCAGGGGAATGATTTCATGCGACGGTTGTATAGTAGTATAATGCAACCATCTTCAATAACCATGTTAGAGACATTTGTTTGACACAGATTTTTAAATGTACACTCTTTTCATTCTGAAGAACAATCACAAAAAAGGAAATTTTGAAAAACTGCTCTAGAAAGTTTTCATTCTAGCCCAATTAACATACGCTGTCCATTTTATTGAGATGGTTAGATATAGGCCTCAGAAGGATTTTTTTATTCCCAAAATTTTTATATAGCTTTATCATCATTAGATTAATAATGCTAAAATAGAAAAAAGTGATTTTGAATTTGTTAAGGTCCAGATCTCAAAATTCACCAAATGGATGGTCGAGATTCATTGTTGGATGGGTACTAATTTTGACCATATCTAGGGTGCAAATTGAAATTTTTTTTCGGTAGGATTGATTATGAGGATGAGGAGAATGCGTGTGCAAAATTTGGGGTCATACAAATGCCAAAAATATGGTTTTGTAGAGGTGTGGTTGCATTATACTACTATACGACTGTTGCATTAGATCATTTCCCTTCTTTTCCTGTTAGACTTCTTACTATACGAGTGATTAGTAACTGCATTTCATGCTCGCAAATCATTGGATTCTGCTGTTAGAATTGCTTAGGGTAGTATTTCAAATTACTAATCCAGTTTGGGATCTCTTTCTTGTTTATTCTATATGAGTGGGGTAATCTATCTCTCTATAAATGCACATAGGTCACACACACCACACATAAATACATTCTTATAAGTATTTCTGATCTCTGAGGTTTTCCAGAACTGCCTTGTCCAAATCTTGATTTGATTTTTCCTTCGTATCTTTGATTTTTTTTTATTTTTTATTGACCATTTGAGAAATTGTTTGCAGCTATGCGTGGCTTGAGTTGATAAGTCACCGATTTTACATGCCAAAATTGCTCATGAGCAATTCTCAGAAAGGCTGGCCCTTGGTTCAACGCTTACTCGTCGATCTGTTTAAGTTCCTGGAACCATCCTTGCGAAATGCAGAACTAGGAGAAGCGGTCTGTTTCCATTTCAATTATCTGAAGATGGTTCAGAAGCCATACTCTGTCAAATATTTGATATTGCTATTTTATTTTTCAAAATTTTTCTTTTCCATTAGCGACTGAACCACCTATTTTATACCTTCATTTGATTGCAGATGCGGGTGCTGTACAAAGGTACTCTCAGGGTGCTACTGGTTCTGCTGCATGATTTTCCTGAGTTCCTATGCAATTACCATTTCAGCTTCTGTGATGTGATCCCCTACACTTGCATACAAATGAGGAATGTTATTCTTAGTGCATTCCCTCGCCACATGAGGCTACCCGACCCATGCCTCCCAAACTTAAAGGTGATTGCTAGAATGACCTGATTCTCTTTTGTTTCTTTTGATAAACATGCTTGAATTCTTATCCTGTTTATAGACCCATGCCATACTAACTTATGGTGATTGCTAACAGAATCCAATTATCTGTGTGGTTTAAGATCTATTTCTTTTTCCTGGTTTTATAACCCATGCTTTCTGAACTGAAAGGTGATTGCTAATATGACCAGATTGTTTTTTTTCCATCTATATATATACTATTTATACTTGAATTCTTCTTCCTTTTTTTAGACCTATGCCTTCCTAATTTGTGCTAACATGACCCAATAATTTTCCTTTTTTTGGGTAAGTATGACTGATTGCTGTTTCATGGTTTTATAGCCCATACTTTCTGAATCAAAAGGTGTTTGCTAAAAATGGCCCATGCCTTTGGCTAGTATGATGCTTTTCCTTTTCTACCCATTTGGTACATGTTAATTACTTTTTTTTCCTGTTTCATTTGGTATTTAAATGCATGTTTTCCTTGGTGTCAGGTTGATTTGCTCCCTGAAATTTGCAACTTGCCGGTCATTTTATCGGAGGTTGATGCTGCTCTAAAGGTCAAGCAGATGAAGGCTGAATTGGATGAATATCTCAAGGTATCACAATTCATTGACCATCTTAAACTGATGGGATGTTTGAATGATTGGTAGTTGATAATATTCTGAAGATGAGCATTGTTAATCTTGAACCAAGGGTGATATCAATAATTCTGGGCCAGTATAGGCAACTGACAGAGAGGGAGGGAGGGATGAGATGAAACAGCTCCACAACACTAGATGCATGTTCATGCAATGCTAATTACTCTGAAAGAATCTTCTAAAAGAATATCGTGCAATGCAAATCAATTCTCCAAGATCTTTCAAATAAAAAAGAATAAAATGAAAATAGAAAGAAGAATGGGAGCTGTGGATATGGTCATGTGACTGTTCTGTTTGTTTTACCATTATGCTACTTTCTTCATTATTGAATCATGACTTATTCTTTTGTCGTCTTCGTTGTACAGTCGAGACAACCAGGGTCTCCTTTCCTAACCGAGCTCAAGCAAAGATTACTGGTTACAACGAGTGAAGCTGCAATAACTGGATGTCGATATAATATTCCCTTGATTAACTCTCTGGTGCTTTATGTTGGAATGCAGGTGGGGCTTTCAATGATTTAATTATTTCTTTGTTTTTTTCCCTTTGAATTTATTTGCTTATTGTTTTAAGGAGCTGTATTATTTAGTCTAGGGGAAAAGAGTTTTGATTATTCTGTTTGTGTGCATTGCAATGGTTTGTGCGGTTTTTGCAGGAAATTCAACAACTGCAAAGCAAGTCTACTGTGTGCACGCCAAATTACAATAGTGCATACATGGATATCTTTGAGAAACTAACCGTGGACCTTGATACTGAGGGGCGATACCTTTTCCTTAATGCAGTTGCCAACCAGTTGAGATACCCCAACAACCACACTCATTACTTCTCATGCGTCATTCTCTACTTGTTTGCTGAAGCTAGCCAGGTGCTTTCTATCTTCATCCACTAATCTCTATCTCTCTCTCTCTCTACAGACACACATGCATGCACACACACACATTTATCTATTTATTTATTTGCACGCACACACACACACACACATGAATGGAACATCTGAAAATTTTTGGACATGGTTGAACGGGTGTTGTTACTTCATGTGTGAATGAGTTGATGAGTGACATCCGTGAAATCTAATATCGAATGGAATGATTCTGTTACAGAAAAGCTAGAGCTTTGATGGGGAATTTCTTGTTTTCTGATAATGTTTTACTTACCTAAAAAAGTTTTAACTGGCATTGTTCTTGGGACCCGGTTTCGACGTAGCCAAGCCCGTATATGTAAAAATGTAGGTCTCTTAATAAATCTATTTTTGAGAAGTATTTTAATATTTAATTTTTAAGGACATATAATCTCTAATATGGAGATCATGAAGAAAAATAAATAAATAAATTTTAAAAACTAGAAATAATAGTTCTAGTAAGAAAACATTTGGACCATTAGTTTCCATTGTTTTTAGATGGAACACCTACTTGCATCCATCTTTAAGATAGATGCTTTACACTTTCTGGACCGCATACGTAGAAATACGGTCCAGCCCACATGAAACAATTTTCCTTGTTCTTGCGGTAGTTTCAATTTCTGTTTATAGTCGGAAATTCTGCACGCTATAGCACCACAAATGTTTTGCATCTGAGTTCATTAAAAACATGATTTTTTATGAGTAAAGTATCTGACACCATAATAATATATATATATATATATATATATATATATATATATATATATATATAGTAGTTAGTTTAGTTAGTACGTAGTAAGTACGTAACCGTAACGT